ATAAACAATTTAATTTTATATATAATATATTTTAAAATTTTACATTTTTAATATGACTAATAAAACTATAATAATTTTATCCTTTATATATACAAAAAATCTATTAAAACAATTAAATAAAAAAATTAAGTTAGTTAATATAAATGATGTTAATTTAATGAATGTAAGATACAAAAATTCGCACTAAATAATAACCATTATAATAAAATAATAATCCATGTTTAACAATTATGTAAAGTAAAAATCATTAAATATTATATAAATAGATATGAAATAGTTAATATCTTTTAGAATTTATTTATTTATTTATAGTGTGATTATTTGATATATCGCTATTATTTTTAAGTTTTTATTAAGGTTTATATATTTTCATAATCGAACACAAAGTATTATAAACTTATATACTTTAAAATAATAAATTTTATAATTACCTAACGTTAGTCAACTATAAAACAGCGTAGCTATGTATTTATCCAAAAATATTCTAATCAATCTTCAAGTTGAGACTCAACTTAAAGGCTTAATTTAGATTTTTTAGGTTAAAAACTTGACTAAACTACAAGAGAGATGGTCAAAGTTAAGTAATTTAACAACACTATGACATATAAAAGTTATTCATATATTAAAAATTAATAATTTAAAAAATATATGGTATTCATTTATATTAAATTAAATATCAAATGAAATCTTAAACATTAACGTGTTCCTTTTTTTAAAGGTGAACATTGAGGGTGAACTCTTTGTTTGTCAATGAACTTTGCCCGTTCAATTTATTTATATATGTTTACAAAATGCATAATAGTAATTCTGCCGTTGTAGAAAAAAAAATTTCCTTTTCCAAAGCCAAACCTCAATTTAAAAATGATTCCAAACTTGAATGGTCGGGCCTGATTGGCCGGGTGGAGGTTAGAAATTTTACATTAGATTTTATAGTGTATCTCAATTTTATAATATTAAGATAATAGGAAAAATATCATTTATAGATTATGGAGATTATATATTGTATAAGATCATTATTATAATTATATTATTAATGTATTAATTAGATAATTAGTTATAGTGCAATAGAGAAATTTTTTAATTTCATCTCTTAAATCAAAACAAACAATACTATACAATAATTAAGATAGATCAGCGTAAATATTTGATATTTGGAATATTGATATAGATCCTGATGTAAAGCGCGTATCAATATAAATAAAAAAATTTATTTAGAATATTTTAAAACTCTATATGTTTTTTAAAAGAGTGTTTGATAAAGATATATAAATGCGGTATAAATTCACCTCCAGAGATTTTGAAATTGTTTTAAAAAAATATTAGCCTTATAATAAACTATATTTCAGCTATTTTTTGCACATTTCATTTAAAAATTTTTTTGGTAATGATATTTTTTTGGAGTCTAGAAGGCATATTTTAATTTTTATAATTTTTTATAAAAATTATTATTTAAGTTAATTCTAATTTTAAAATATTAAATAAATGCTGCTCCTGACATTCTAAATTTTTTCACCCATGTCTCTATATCTTTGTTTATGTTGGGCCACAACAAGTGTACTGTCTTACTTGCACTTTTATTTTTATGAATCTCATATGTCCTTGGTTAAGGTAGGTCTTCTTGCTCAAGCGCTAAAAATTGCATTAAGATTGTTCCAACAATCGCTTTTGTTCCTACTATATAGAGGAATTATAATATGGGTAGGTGAATTTCATAAAATTTTGTGGGTAAATTTTGATTGACCAACTCGATGATTGTGGAGAGACGGAAGATCTACACAAGTAAAATCCCGAACAAGTAATGAGCCACGTCTCATTATGTGAAATATATGAAGTTATTGATCAAGCTAATGATCGAATGATAATATTTTTTTTTCTTTTACTAAAAATTTGTGATCAAAGTTTTTAAATATAAATTTATTTGTAAAATATTTATTATGTTAAAAAAATTTTAATTAGATAAAATATTCATAATCGTCAAAAACATAAAAGAAGCCTTACAAAGCTATTTTGGCTTGCAAATACTTTCTCCAAGTGATTTAGCATTTCTTGCCACTCATTCCCAATTTAAACTTTATTCCAGAGACTTGTTAAATAAAAATTTAACACGATTTTCCTAATGAGACAACAGGAAGTTTCATTTTATTTTATTTTTATATATATCGTGCTTTGTAGACTCTTTTCTTGTTCATCACTAGGAAAATCAAATGTCACGACCAGGATAAAAAAATAATATACTGTTATACTTTAATCAAATATATCTAAATTAAAAAAATATATATTTACAATTATATTGTATTACAGTAATTAAGGTATGTCAAATATTTGAACAAAAATACTACATTTACTAACACTTTTAATGCAATACAATTTTAGGCTATTTAAAATAAATATATACATGATCCATATTTAAAATAGTTTTAAAAAATTTTCTTTTATAAAGGTAGAAAAATAAATTTAAGAAGTTATACTATTTCCAAATTATATTGATTAAAGCATAAATTTTTTTATAAATAATTAAAATCAATGTTCTAATCAAATTCAAATGATCAACGTCCAAATTATATTTTATCTGTTTTTGACCACGCAAATAGGTAATCTTTATTTAATTTTTATAAAGCTGGTTAATAACTTATTTAAAAAATATTGGAAAATAAAAGATTATAAGTTTTTCTCGATGCATTTTATTTTATTATTTGTTTTTTAATATTTACATAAATTATTTAAATTTATTATGATTTCCACGGTATATATATTTCTAAGATCAAAATTTTATAAAGATTTTTTTTATGGCCATGGTGGTCATAGTAATTTTGATTTAAAGAACATAAATTTAAATATTTATATTTTTTTTAGAAATTCGTCTTAATCAATGGTCCCTGGCATATTTAGATGTAGAAAATGGACATTTGGATGATATTATACAGCAAAATAATTTGCCAGAAGAAATTGAGGAAAGCTGTTTACACTTAACATTATATCCCATGACAGATCATGTATTGAGTTCTAACTTTTTCATTGAACATAAAGATGGCAATCCGACGATCTACCCGAACCCAAGAGAAAAATACCAATTTTATAGAGGGTTTTACAAGGACAAATTTACGGGCATAATCGTTGAAGACAAAAAAGAAAATATAATGGTTAACATATAAATTATCCTTATTAAAGTTTACAATTATCGAAATTACAATTTAATATATTTGTTCAAGCACGCCAAAGCCAAACTAATTTAACATTTTTATTAATGTTTAAATTATGCAAATAGATGAGATTTTATTTAAAATAAGAAATATTCAAAAATTTTATATATATAATAAGGTGCCTCAAAAAAATCAGAAAAATGTCATTTTTGAAAACTTTCTTCTACAAATCGTTCGATTTTTTTTGAATGAAATTAAACATTTCATTTAAGAATATGTGAAACTTAACATCTTAAAAGAAAATGTTAAAATTTGACAAAAACAAAACCTCCAGACTCCCATTTCTTTTAATTTTAATTTTCTCAAAAATTGGCTTGTTCGACTTTTGGCAAAATTTATCTCAAATCATAAATCATACCAAAAATTATTGTGGTCATCAAACAAATCTAAATTAAAAGTCATTTCTTAACCCTCCTCATTTAAAATCAACCATAAGAAAAATCATTGGAATAAATCAGGTTTTCCCAAATTCCCTAGGAAATAGTGGAATATTCTTATCAGTTAATTTTAAATCAACTTCGAAATAAGGAATTCATATTCTAAAAACAAGGTCGTCACTGAACTAAATTCACAATATCATAAGTATTATCAAGTGGGTAGTAATCAGAACCCTTACCTTTTCTTTGGCCAAATTTGCCAATTATTTATAAAATATTTTTGTAGAAAAATTTCAAACTATTCCAAAAAGGTTATAATTTATTTTAAATTATAACAGAAAGTATAAATAATTAAAAAAATAAAATTTCATTGTACATTAATGTTATTTTCTTCCAAAAAATTTAAAGTATTTATTTTACATCTTCTTCAACCTTTAACCCTGATAAGCATAAACTTAGAAAAGCAATAATAATGATCAAAAATTTTATGAGATAAAATCAAAGTTATATGATTTTAAGATTCTTAAGGCTTGACTTGCCTATATAATATAGCTATGTATAACTGATTCCCAATAAGGCAATAAAAAAAACTGAATCGCAAAGATGATAACATTTATATTTATGAAATTATTATTTTTTTAAATTATAACCATAAAATCGTCGCATGAGAATTATTTTATTCAATCTCCCCTTTTGCCAAAAATGACTTATTTTCATAAATTAATTTTTAATTATACCATTTCTATTTAAACTAAAAATTTTTATAAAATAACTAAAATCAAATCCGATACTAGGTTAACAATCCGTTGAAAACGTTTAATTTTTAAAATTGCTCTCCTGTAAAATCATATAATGTGGAAATAGAATATTCTAATTCTCATGCGACTATATGTTTAATTCTATATTTTATATGCGATCTGTTAATTAAACGGCTCAATTTTAGCCGATTTTATATAAAGGGCTAACTCATTAAATCCAAAAAAATATTACCTAAACCTGAAGATCTTGGTTATAGATGGCACAAATGTTTGGACATCTATTAACGAATTTCGAAGACGATATTTTTTCTTGCTAAATTGAAATTGTGTCACCCGGTATAATCAATGGCAAACTTAACTCACCTTACCTTTCGAGAGGGATAATCCATAAATATTTATTATTTGTTTAATTTTTGCTTATCGATTGATTGCAAATACGAACTTCGGATATTTGGTAGGTGTGAAAAATAATTTCATTTTCAATATTATTATTTTTTATTTAATAGAGAAGATTGTATAATTGTTTGCTACAAAATTATGAATATTTAATCATAGCATGGAACCATCGAAATAGAAGATGAATCTTATTTGATTAGAGGTAGTCATGTTGATAGAGATCGGAAAAATTTGTATCATTTAAAACGACTAACCAAGACTCATAATGTATTACACAATGATTTCAAAGATTATATAGAGATAGACAACAAGACAAAAGGTTTAACAAATTGTATATGCGCATTTTACTATTTGTAAACGGATGAATATTTTAATTCCTTCTTTTACTATTCAATATTTAAGAGTAATATCTCAGGAAATTAACCATAGTTAGGCCGGGCTCCTCTGGTCGGAAGGGAGTTCTTTTCCCCAAATTTACTGGATACATTATTTTGAATTAAATTTTTTAATAAAAAAAATAAATGTAAAAATTTTAACTTACATCGAATTGGAAAAATATTGTCTTCTTTAGTTCCAATCTCAAATAAAATAAAATTCTTTAACTTTCATATCATATTTTAGTTTAAATCAAGGTTATTACATATCAAATCAACCAATAACGAAATTTTAAAAAATGAAAAAATAAAGAATATATTTTCATAAGGTTAAATCAAGTGGATGAGATATATTATACATTTCATCAATTCGATTAAGTTACTTGACATTTAAATATTTATTTGTAATGAATTAGCCAACAAATCATTCAAAAAGGCCAAAAGTTTTAGTCCCTCTCTTAATGGTCCTTATTATGTGGAGGCTATGTTTTACGTAGATCCCCTAAATATGCCGATGACATATGAAGAGTTAATTTCAGCCGCTATTCAAGTAAAATTCCATTATTATTATATCATTTTTTTATCCTTTAATTCATGAATATTGAGAAATGAGCATCAACAAGCTATCCTAGGTATACGTTGGGATTTCACAAGAAAAATACATTTTAGATATTTATCTATTTGATTTTTACAATAAAATATCGCAGTTTTATTTTTATTAACCCAAATTTGTTTTGCTCTTAATGGCTCAATAGGTTCCATTACCTTATATAATATTTTTATTTGTTTTTCATTTTGTGAATTAATTCTTTTAGAACCTTAACTTTTTTTCTTATTTCTTTGAGTAACGTCACATTTTTTTCATTTAGCAAGGTAATATGTTTCCTTTTTCACAAAGTAACCCCGGTAATGTTAAAACGTTCCTTTATTAAAGCTTAACGAAGTAACGCGTTTTTTTTTTTGAAGTAACGTTTAGAGTAAAATAATTAATTTTCATTTTAATTAACTACTATTTTTCTATATATTTTTTTATAGGTTGATTACATTTTAAGGGATCCTACATTTCAAAGAGAAGCCCATTTTATTCTCAGAGGAATTAAACCATATGTAAATTGCTAATTTTAAGATTTCATAATTTATTTTATATATTTATTTTCTTAGATTGGACCTGATATTAGATAAGAAGATGATCTTGATATATTTTGCCAATACACTGCCAACGCTCGTGCTAACAAGGATGAAGATGTTTCTTACTTGATTTCGGCGTATAATTAATTTGAATTTTTTGTTTAGCACTTTAGAAAGAATTTTTTTTATAGACAGTTTATTGCTCAAAGACACATTGTATTTATTTTTTAAAAATCAGAGTTTAAAAAAATATCTAAAGAAAAAATTTTGAGCAAAAATCTTTGAATTTATTTGTATATATATTATTATAAACTATATGGTGATTTCCAATTGGCAGTGTCATTAGTTTTGTTTTTTTTAACAATTTAACATTTGTTTAAAATGTCGAAACTTATTTATTTCATCACATCACACCTCTAAATTCTGGTCTCGGGGACAATCTTCAGCTTAATAAATACAATGAACAGAAGAAAGAAAAGTTTCTTCATTATCATTTAGAATCGCTGTATTAAACTTTTACTGTGGTATTTTATAAATATATTACTTCTAGAGATTGAAACCGAAATCCCCTAAGAAACAGAGAAAATCTAGGAAGTGAATCTAGGTCTTCAAATAGGAAACAGAAGTTATTTAAAAAATATTTCAGAACCGTTTACTTATCAACACAGCGCAACCAGAACCTAATCCCTTAAAATTATCACCAAAACAACTTGTTTTTTAAAAAAATATATATTTAGAATTGAAACAAGAATATTTTTTTAAAAGTCTTCAGGTTTTTCAAACTTGGATTATATGGTAAAGTTTGAAATGAATATTATAATATAATACTAGTTTAAAAACGATGTCAGTCCAAGTTTTATTAAGCTTACTTTTCAATATTACGGAATCCTGAAGATTTTGCTCTTAGAATGATACAAAGGTCTAGACATCATTACCTATATCTCGAGACTTGGGCTATATTTTTCTGGTTAAAGTATTGAGTTAGTTGTTTTTAAAAAATCGAAAACATTAAATAGAACTATTCAATGTAATCAAATAATTTATTATTCGTATTGTGGTATAATTAAGGAATAGTAATCATTGGATTCCCTCAAAGGAATCGAATAGGGCTAATTAAAAAATGGTGAAGATAAATATTGATTTACATTAGGTTCTAAAAAAAATGTGCCTACATTCAAATTTTGCATCGCGCATCGCATCGTATGTTGTTTGATAATATAATATTTCACTTGAGCCCAAAATTTTTTTAAAAACTCAATTTTTTTTAATTAAAAGAGTCCTTATGTAGGGCAAGAGTATAGATTAATATATCAGTTTCATTTCTTTAATACCTGGGTTCGAGTCCCTGCTTGGAAATTTTTTTTTCAATTTTCATTAATTTTTTTATGAAAGTTGGCGAAGGATGAGTAGGATGCATAAGTTATGTAGCGGAGATGGGCGAAGTCTATAGCTTAATTTCAAAAAATTTATGTCACAAGTCATATTGTAATTTTATTTATAACATTGTGGCATTTCGAATATTTTCTTTCCAAGACAATCTATCAAATAATAAGTATAAATAATATTTAATTTTGTTTTCCTTTACATTTTATATATTTCTTCATTTTTAAAAAAATTTTTTAAATACGATTTAGAAACTGGAATGAAGACGGTATAACTATCGGTATTCAATAAATATATAATATTTTACCACCTAAAGTCTTATTTAAACTTCTAATTGTTTAGTATCATTTTAAAAACTTGTTTTTACTGTTACGAATGAACTGATTTTTTAAGGAAAAATATTTAAATAAATTTAAATTTCTACTATACATATCTCATGCTACAATTTAATCATTAAAATTATTTTATATAATATATATTTTTGTAAATTTTTAATTATCAATCATAAATTTTTTATACGTATTTTGAATTATTTTTCTTATAAATTATTTTATACATAGTTTGCAAGTTATTTTAAACTATATAATAATATCCAAATAAATCATTCTCAAATAAATAAAAATGATAATATGACTTTTTTTTGTTATACAAGATAGGCTTTCAAGGCATTCAGCAATTAATTAACTATTAGCCGTTCTCTTACCAGGGCCCGAATACCAAACATCCTGGAGCCTACAAATTTATCATTAGATGATGGCTTAAGACCAGATGGCTTAACTTCCGTGCCTTGGTCTTTAGGGAAATCCTTAATTTGGGACTTCACATGTGTATCTTCTTTCCCAAAAAATTTAAATTCTAATCCGGTTGATATAGCCGAGAAAAAAAAAACAATGAAATATTCCAAATTCACAAATTATATTTTTTTACCGATCGTTATCTCTTCCCTTGGACATATGCCAAGCGGAACTTTAAAGTTATTAAAAAATATAGGTGATAAGATAAGAGCCCTTACATCATAACCTAAATAATACTATTTTCTAAAACAAAATCTACAAATAACTATTTTAAAATATAACTATTCATGTTTTTTGGGAACTTGTAGTCCCACCTCCGTTTTTATAAAATAATGTTTTATTTTATTTTATATTTGATATGATAATATAGTTATTATTATTTTGAAATAAAAAAACTTACACTCTCAAAAAGAAAGAAAGAAAAAAATTATGAACTAAAAGAGGGATAAAGAAGTGTTTCAAAGACTGAGTATTCCGGACATTATTAACCTTCTAATAAATATTTTATTAAAAAATTTAATTTTTATAAGATTTATTTTCTTTTTTCCTGTTTTATCACTGTTTCTCTAGTATTTTATGTTTGAAAAAAATTATTTTTAATATCCTTCCTTATTTTACATAATTTAAAATGATACGCGTAATATTTCTTATGGTACAATTACAAGTTTAAAAAGTTAAAACTTTAACTTCCAAAATATAATAAAATATCGTAATAAGGCTAGATATTTGAATTTCTAGCTTTTTACACCTTAATCTTTTTTTTTTCAAAATAAATGCTAGTGTATTTTATATTTTCATAGGTTTAGCACCAAGAGAAGGTATATGCGCCAAAAAGTTGTTCTTTAATTCATCCATCGGATACCGAAACAGCAATAACCATTGCACATGAAACGGGCCATTTGTAATTAAAATTAATATTTATTTATAACATGCATTTATTAAGAACTCTAAAAATAAATTGAAATATAATAAATATGAGAAATTGAAAGATTGAAAGTTTGAAAGATTGCCATATAAGCAAGAATAACATTTTTATAAAAGTTTAAAAACAATGTTAGATAGTGTTGTTAAACTACTCGATTTGAGTCGACTTTAAAAAACAGCTAATTCAACATTTTAACCAGGGAAATATTGCCTAAGCTTCGAGATTTCGCTAATAGATTTCCAAATATTTGGGTCTTCTATGAGCCAAATCTTCAGGCCATAATAATTTTCTGGGTATAATATTGAGTTAGAAACTTTTAAAGTTCAGCTGAAATCGAGCTGTTTAACAATTAGTTAAGATATTATAATAATGCAAATTAACTTTAGCATTAATAATTTTTAAACAATCTAAAGGTTTGGAGCGAAACATGATTATGAAAATAGTGCGATTCATTATCTCTAGGTAGTATAATGCATTATGATTCAACATACCCAAGAAAATATCAATGGTCTAGTTGCAGTGTTCAAGATATAGATAATTATTTAGGGTAAATTATGTAATCTTATATTATTTGTCTCCATCTCAGCTATTGCGTAGAGGTCTTTATTTAGACCATTAGAGCTTACAATTTAAAAAATATATATAGTGTTATGATATAATTCATATTTAAATAGAATTTTATAATTAAAAATCTAGATATGAGGGTAAATGCTTAGAAAATGCGGATAGTTATCGTGAAGCTCCCTCCTTTTTTGTTTCACAATTAGATCTACATAAAGCTTGTCGTTCCTGGGGTCTCGATTTGGACCTTAAAAACGTAACATAAAAAATATAATCTATTGTCATGTCCTGCAGATCTCAAAATTTTAGTTCGTCCCGCTAAAATAGTCGAATGGGGGGAGGGTATAGGACGTAAAAAATTTGACATGGGATAAATAAATATCTTTTGATTATAAATTATTTAGTATAAGCGCAGGTATAGGTCTTAGAGGGCTCTAATTTGTAAATTTTTTGTAAATAAAACTCAATATGTGTATTAATGAAAAATTAACATATCATTTGATTGCATTGATAGTACTCTTAAAGTTGGATTTAGTCTGGAGGGGGTGGGTTATAATATAAAAATTGAATATGGGTATTAAATGAAAGATATATTAATTATCATATATGGGTATATCTAGGATTTAAGAAGTCAGGCTAGTTTTTTATAGAGGGATATTAAATAAAAGATAATTATATCTTTCGACTGCCTTATTATATAGACATAACTCTAAGTAAACGGGTCTAGGTCTTAGGAGGTCGAAAATTTTTTTAAAAATTTTTATAAGAAAAGTTTAGTATGGCTGTGTAACTCATACTTGTGATGAGAGAATTTATAATATCATAAAGTCATTTTAAGCTAATTGTTGATTAAAAATTAGTGGCAAAACTCAAATAACATAATCTTTAAAATCAACTTCCCTATTTATTACCATAATTATCAATAAAAAAATGTACCATTTTAAAAAATGATTAAAAATGATGAAAGGCATGCGACATCTTATTTTTTATCTACAATTCAAAATAGATTATAAAATATTTACTGATTGTTATTACATTCTTTTTCGATCACCAGAGTAGCTGCACTGATTTAAAATGTACTGCTATTGGAAGGTTTGATCGCGACTTACCGCAACTCTTAGATTTCCTGCCTTGTAATCAATTGAGCAATAATTTATCGAGTTCCCAAACTGGAGTAGTATATTTATATATTATTATTTTTTTTTCTTCTTTATAATATTTTATTACAGAATATAAAATATAGTCACTAATCCTCATTACCGGTATATTGATGGATTAGTCAATTCCGGTTTACAGTCAACTGATAACAGATGCAAAAATTATAATATCAAATAACCCTACTATGTATAAAGAATCAGAGGAAATCCAATAAAAATGTGCGAAATGGAATTAATAAAATATATAAATTCGTATAATTTTTAGACAAGTTGACATTACACGAATTATTTTGTATTGCCAAAACATATCCTTACCGTATATTTTACTTGTCACTAGAATTCGATTATAAAACATTGCGACAATAAATTGCCTCCATCTTAATTGATAATTTCAAACAAAATAAAGATTTTGATTTTTTGAGGGATACTTAGATATGAATAAATTATCTTTTAAAATATTACTATATTTTAGAAAAAATCAAATTCTCTAAATATCCGTTACAATTTATAACAGATTATTGATTATTAAATTTGTAAGTATTAGTATCATTAGCTACTGATGGCTGTGGACTAGTAAGTTCATGAGCCTGCTATTGTTTAATTAAAGATGGAAGACTGTACTCGCCTTGTTATTTTGATTATAGCATTCTATGCCTTGTCTTTCTTAATGCCCTACCTTAACCTTCAGTGCAAATTAAACATTGTTGTCATATTTTTGATAAATTTTAATTATTTTAAAATAGTTTTATCTAATTTGTTTATTAAATAGCAAGTCGAATGCGTATTAGAATTACATTAAAAATATTTGTCTAAGGGTGATAATTATATTTGCTGCTAATTAACTTTATTAAATGTAATACAAGGGTTAAATCTACTGACATCATATTTATATTTTCGATAAAGGCCAAGCATTTCATATAGTAAATGTCTTTTATATTCTATTTTCTTTTTAAATATACAAAAGATATGCTACAAGGGAAACTGCATTTTAAAAAAAAGATTGCAAGAAAAGGCCGGTTCATGGAGTTCTTGGTCGTCTTGGTCAAAATGCCGAGGAGATGATACAATAGGTTTTGCCAAGAGGACTAGAAAGTGCAACAATCCACGGTATTAATAGAATTAATTGAAATCAACTTTATATATATATAAATACAATGTTGATTACATCAGAAATGAAATATTGTGGATATATATGGATCAAATATAAGAGGTAGATATGGTATATCAAATAACTAGGAATATTCATGTTTGATTTAATCAATTTTTATGTATAATATTCAGTGTGTTAAAATTTGAATTAAATTTTGTACCCCGTTATCACCAATTTATCGTCCTTTATATATGATATTAATTTAATATGAAATAAAAACAATCATTTTAAAGTATTAATCATCTTAACAGTCGCTCGCAGTGTTAATAAAATTATATAACTATTAAATTAAACAATCATAGGTTATACTTTATGGTAAAATTGAGATTCCTTTTTTAAAATATGCTCATTTCTTATATTTTTAAAAATTATATATATTTAACATGTAAACTATTTGTAAAATAAAATTTATATAAAAACTATATTAAATAATAATAATTAAACATTTAATTAGGTATGATCAACGGGGCTTATAGACCCATGTATGGATATGCAATTAGATTTTATTTTTGGTTTTTTTATTATTGTTAAAAAAGTGACATATCAACAATAAACTTTAGAGAAGACCTGACCATTTTTTATTATTTTAAACAGTGGTGTAGCTAGAAATTTTCCTTAGAGGGGGTCCATACATATAAAAGCCTGGGGGGCTTCACCCCCCAGACCCCCTTGGGTCTTCGGCTTGGTTTATCTTACAAATCATAACCATATTTTCGATAATATATAATAATTATATTTTTAAATGCATCAATAATATGTTATTATAATTTAGTAGATTATTCTTGATGATTTTATAATAATACTATCCAGAATAATTTCAATAGTAATATAATATCCTCAAACATCAAAACCAGAAAAATATAAAATGGTATTTATTTGATATAAAGTCACTTATAAGTTTGAACATATATTCTAAAAAAAAATTTTGCTTTGTGAGAGGTCTAAACCCGAACACTACCCCCCGTAGCTACACCACTGATTTTAACATATAAATGATTGGAATAAGGAAAGGTAGACTTGGGCTTCTATTTATTTTATAGAATCTTACTGGAAATCCAAAATTATTCCCTTTTATATTAAAACGCATTTCACAATCATGTGAGTTACGAATCTTGGATAAAATCATTCAGTTTATGAACATATCCTAAACTAGTTACCTGCAAATTATTATGAATTATCAAAAAGATTGATAAAGTATCCAACAAAAAGTTAGAATATTACTGTCAGGAAATCTTTACATAAATCAGGGAATTTTACGTTAATAATTTATTTAGTGACCTTATACTCTATACTCCTCAACATAGATTTAGATATAGAGGATGTTCAAAAACTTCGTATTTCAATTATATATCCAAACTATTTTTTATATACTTCATCGAATAACAATTTGCTAGAATGATAGGAACTAAATGAAGAATTGAATACATAATATTACCCATATAAACTATTCATTTATAATAAAATATATAAGTATGCTGCTAATTTTTAAAATGAACTAAATTTCTATTTTAACTTACATTATTATCTTATATTTCTAAGGCCGAAGTTTGGGGGACGCTACTGTCAAGGTGCCAAAATAGAATATAAAGTCTGCGAATATGCGGTAATATTTAGCCAGTATTTTATATTTTATTTAATAAATTTTTTCTATTTTATTATAGTTTAGCAGAAATAATAAAAAAAATCAAGCTCTGTGTACGAGGTATGATAATTCTTCAATTTATACAGATTATGGTATATTATTGTTATTATTATGATCATCTAAATTTCAATTTCTTTTTATGTTTTACTAACTGTTTATATAATAATAAATTCATAATATAGCTGATCAACCATGTTCTTTATTGTTATGTTAAGCACAGCAATATTTATATAAATATTGGGAAAGCTGTAGATGGAACAATTGCTAGAATGGAAAATTCTTTATATATGTGTTTAAACGGCGCTATTATTGTTAGTTAAATTTGATTTTGACTTTATTTTGATAAATATAATATATACAAATCAATATTGATTATTTTATTTCATAACAATTTTATTACGAATATTTTTTTTCCATATTAATTAATTTTTTCATGCCTAATATGTATTTATTTCAAAAATGAGTATTTATAATATCTTTTGTTGGACGTTACTAATAGCAAATGGTACATTAATATGTAATTTGCCAATATTGATAATAAAAATTTATGATTTATAACTTGTTTTCCGTTCAATTGTTTCTTTATTTGATAAAATGTAACACTAATATAATATAATATATTACAAAAAAAAAGGAAAAGCATATAACTATTTTTTTCTAAGACAAATTTAATAAAAGAAATAATTATAAAATTATAATTTAGTAAAATAAAAGGTTAAGATTTTTAAAAAAACACATCTAAAATATAAAAATAGTAAAGAGTAGAAGGTTAAATAAGGAAAGAAAGTGTAATAAGACATGGAATATTATCCGATAGAAGAGATAAAACATAGGGAGAACGTATAATCGCGTTGTAAAAAAGAGATTTTTAAGGTTGATTAATCTTTTAGCGAATTCGCCTCCTCAATTCTTTAAAAAGGCATTAAGCTTTACTGCCGAAAGTGGTAAGAAAGGAGGTAGCAGGCGACGTCACGAATAAGTACTTAGGATTGGGGAGCTATATATGGTGATTTTCTGGGTTTCAGAGAGGACGAGAGTAGTGACGTTTTGGGTGGATAGTGCAATTTGATCAATGCATATGAAGTTCCAAAAAAAAAACTTGCCTATGGATTTAAGTTCGCGCACACATTTACCTTTTAGGATATTTGATTTTTTCAAAATGTTGATATTAGCAAAGGAAATCACAAATAAGATATATTTTAAAACTTTGATAATAATAAGCATGCATTTTATAATTTAAAAAATATTATATTAACATTAATTATACTTTTTATTTAAGAAATATAAAATAATTTTTTAAATTTGATGTAACACCTATAATTCCTTGGAGAATTTTTGTGTCAATTATAAGCTAATATATTTTTTAGAGATTTCGATATTTTGATATTACAAATATTAATTGCAAATTTATTTTTATTAGCATATAGGTTGTGATAACCAATTATCGTCGACGGCTAAATTTTACAAATGTGGAACGTATAAAGGGAATAATTCTCAATGTGTTCCATTTGAAAAGAAGAAAAATTGATAACTTTAACTAATGGTAAGACACTATTTTCAATATTTTTAAAACGAATCAATAAAAGCATTTTTTCCCAGTTACAATTTTTTCCTTTATTATCACCTCTTTCTCCTTACCTTCACTTTAAATATCTAGTTATATCTCATTGAATTGCTTTATTTATAAAAATTATTTTTGATGTTTGAATTTCTATCATGCTTATTATTATTATTATTTTTCTAATTCATTTATTCTAAAGCCCTTAAGTATAAATATTATATTTAAACATTTATAAAAATAGTTTGTTTTTTAATAAATTTGTCCGTTAATGGTCCTGATATAATATAATATTTTTTACTTGTTTAATTATAATAATTATTAGGATGATTACATATATACAGATATGACTGATATTGCAAATTTGGATCATAACATAAGTGTTTTATATTTTAAACTCAAGCTGAAATATTATAGAAGATTAATCGGACCCGGAAGTAGTATTGGTAAAATATTCTTTTTTCTAGTTGAATTCCTCATTTATAATTTTTTTAATGGGTATTTTTTTAATTGGTTTTTTAGATAACCTACTATTTTATTTTAAACTATATTTTCTGAAAGTTTTCATGCATTTTTATTAAATAATTTTCAAGGTATTAACTAAAAACATTTTTTGGAATCAAAAATAGTATATTTTAGCACGTAAATTATTTTTTAAACATTATTATTTTTGAAAATAGGTTTACATTAATGTAATTATATAAAATTTTTGATAATATCATGTTTCAAAAAATAATATATTATCATAATAAAAATGCGAAATATTGTATTTAATATTATTCTTTTTATAAATATTCACATTAATCTTTTATTTAATATTATTAATTTATTCGAAATAAATAGTCTTAACCCGAAATGGAAAGAAATTCATGGGAACTCAGATAAAGAAGCTTACTGATATAACCTATAAAATATATAGAGGTAACGAAATCATAAGTTCGGAAAAATTATCGGGTCCCATAATTATACAGGTTATTTATTTTATATTAGATATTTTATTACAACTAATTCAAAAAAGTCTATTATGTTAATATGAGAGATTACTGTAGGATTGATCATAAAAACAAATTTTTTTTGTTATCTTCGTATTTAACATTAGAAAGGTTGACAACTTCTCTATTTAAAATATTGTTAATTAATATCCAAAAAAATCATTTAATTTTCCACCTTTGATAATACAACTAACATTATTACAGGTTTAAAAATTTAAAAATAAATTGAAATGGCAAAAAAAATATTTAGTTATCAGAGTAAATTAAATAATATTTTTGGCTATAATGAAAGGATAGTATTATTATAATATGATACATGAATCTATTCCAGAATTTTCCTAAAGATGGGTTAGGTCTAAACTCCCTTCCTATTAAATATATTTGTGGGCGCCTTAGACAAGGTATTTATACATATTTGATCGGGTTAAATTTATCTATAACATATTTAAAACTTGATAGAGGACTCTATCCACCCCCCCTCTCCCAATTCTTTCTTCTCCTTGTAGAAAATCCTTATGACTAATGAATATTATATATTAATATTATTTAAAAAATATATCATATTATATGACAGATAAAAAAGAATATTCAATTGTATATCACTGTGGATTATAAATTGAAATACGCTATTCCAAAAAAATTAATTTATTCTAAGCTTATTAACTGACTTTATCAATTAAATTAATTTATTCATTATTTGCAAATATCTTATGGGTATGCACATATTCTATAGTTTATATAATTATAATATATTATATATAATTTTTGCATTTCGTAAAAAAATAAAATGGTTTGTTATGTTATTATTTTACATGTTAATTGCAATGCTATTTGCTAGAAATATAAACTTAAACATATTTAAGCTTAAGAGAGAAGACTAAAATATGTAAGAATTTAATAGTTATATATTATTATTTTATTTTTTCTATTTGAAAATAAATGAGGAATATTTAATTTTTAAACATATCAATAAGATATTTTATATTTTATCTTCAAACAATTTTCCTGGGTTTTGTAAATATGATTTTATTAATTTAATAATTTTTGATCATTCCGTGAATTAGACATCACAAAATGGCAGATCATTATATCCTATCTATGTCCTTAGAATAGGCCTTTTTTATTTGTGATGTGCTAAAAATAAAAGGCAGGGTGCAATTATGAGGAGTTATGAAGTAAGAGCAAATATAGGAAATTCATGATGATGAGCCAGAATTAAAATATTAATTTTAAGATCGCGTTATATTTTAGGTAAAACCTGCCTTCTTGGATAATCTGTTTTTCAGAGATAGTTTAGATACTTTATATAAAGACTAGTCGATTTCTCTTGATATAAAGGAGTGACCACTGTAAAAGTATTGTTAAATAAGGAATAATAATCATATTTAAATCTCAAGTTAATCTTTATGTATAGATAAAATATTTCTAAAAAAAAACAATAAATAACTCTGTGTAGAATATAGAAAATGGTATTAAATACTTGGCTGAAATTGCCGATCTTCTTTATAAGATTGTCAACAAAGAAAAATGGGCTTGGAACCTAGAACACTCTAAAAGTGTTAATGATCTTAAGAAGTTGATTAGTCTTCCACCTGATTTGACATATTTTAACCCTGAATTACCTATAGGGATAGCCACTGACGCATCGAAATGTGGTTTAGGAGCTGTACTATTTCATATTGAAAAAGATGGTAAAGAAAAACCTATAGCTTTCGCTTCAAGAACTTTATTAAAATCTGAAATGAACTATACCAATATTGAGCGTGAGGCTCTCGCTATTATGTTCGCTATAAAGAGGTTCCAGGAATATTTAATCGGCACAAAACTTACAATCATTACTGACCATAAACCTCTAGTTCACATCTTTATCAAGGGTCTTAAGGATAATAGCACCATGTCCTTAAGACTCCAGAAGTGGAATATTACATTAGGAGGATATGATTTTAATATAAAGTATAAAGCCGGTAAATATAATGTTGTTCCTGATTGTCTCTCAAGATTACCACAAGAATGCCATGATGAAACTATTGAAAATATAACTATAATAAATGAGTATGGGGATTTACCTATTAATTTTAATCAAATTCGAGATGAAACTTTGAAAGATATGGAATTAAAACAAGTCATAAATGATATTAAAAACAACATGCCTATAATGAATAATATTTATTAAAACATTGAATTGGAATAAATATAATTAAGGATTGCCTTTACAAAAGCAACAGAATCATAATTCCGTCTTCTATGAGAAAAAATATACTTCAGTCATTACATGAAGGTCACTTGGGAGCAGGAAAAATCAAATCCTTAGCCAAAGATTATATGTGGTGGCCTGGTACGGCTCACATTTGTTATCAGTATAAATTAGTTGGAAGAAAACTGAAATATATAAGGTCCTTACAAAAGCGGCAGACAAAAAAAGTTATAATTTTTTCGCAACTAGTGTTGTTAAATAGCTCGTTTTGAGCCGATTTTATAAAAGCCCAAACTTAATATTTTAAAGATATATTAGGCAAACATAAAGATTTATAGATGACAGAAATTGTAAACACTTATTAACAAATTCTCAAGGATTAGGGAAAATTTCTCTGGCTAAAATATTGAGCTAGTCGTTTTTAAAAAATAGACTCAAATCGAGCCGTTTAACAACATTATTCGATACATATGAAAATAACGAGAATATCCAAAATAGAGAAAATATTGCCATGACTCATAAAAAATTTAAAATTAGTGGTCATTAGAGCTATCACCAATGTATATGACCCAAATTCTCTTAGCTTTTACCTAATATTATTTTAGAATTTGTTTTAGTAAAAGATTGAGAAATAAATGTAGTTATATGGATAATAAAAATCAATTTTTTTTTACATTATTAGGATAGACTTTATTTAATAAATTAATTCTGATTAAAATATGTATCATTTCTTCGAACAAATTATTGTATTGCAGAAATAGTGTTGCAAATAACACGTGACGGGAAGTGTACTGTAAGTATAAACTTGTCAAAATACCGAATCCTTGTTAAAACAAATGGTCTTTTTTTTCTTAAATGATCAGCTTTTGATAAAAATAAAATTTTAAAGCAAAATATCATACTTGTAAACAAATACAAATATTTAATAAATTATTAATGGCCCAGTATAAAATAATGTGTTTAAAGTCTATAAATGTTTAATGTCTAGGTGGTAAGGAACGAATATCAACCCTATCAACTTGTATAGGCGATATAATCAAAATTATGTTAAGAGCATCGAATGCTTAGTGCCTAATCGACTTGGACACTCATTTTTTTCAAGATGACTCAACTAGTTGATCATTTCTTTGCGACTGTCCCCCGTTTTTATCGTATCCGAGCTGGAGTGTTCCATCAATTCTAAACAGAGTCGAAAAGCAAAAAGCATATAAGGAGACCCATATTCAACCACCAACACATAATGGTATTGAAACTAACAAACCACCATTTTGGAAAACGAAATTAAGCTTTTCATCTAAGAAATAAAAACCGTTTTCGTAAAAGTAACTGAGGCAAGGGGTAACGGTGATCCTCAGCTAAGTACGCCTAATTTTGTTAGTTTGGTTTGTAACCACACATTTTGGTGAATTCTAAGGTTAACTATATTCACCAATGTGCCAGATGATATGAAGCAGAATTATATTTTGAAAATATATAAAAGATTTTAATTAAATAAAACGCATGATGGGATGGTAAATACTTGAGAATATTTTAATATTTTCTTTTAAATAGGATAATAGATTCCAAAAATGTTTGGATATCTGAAGATCCTCCTATTGGTTACCCGAAAACGAGGATTTTATATTTAAGATCAATAATTAGGGAAGAAAAATTTGTCACATTTTTTATAATTTAAAGTTAAATTTAGTTGTTGAAAATTAAAAATGATAATATTTACAGCATTAATTATTTCGGTGGGACCCAATCATATTATAAAGTAGATTAACCAGTTATCT